ACTGTTTGTAAGTTCCAGGGCCTGGAAATGCAGGACTCGGTCCTCTGGAGGTCTGAGCCTCAGCCTCATCACCCGAGATCAAACAGCCCTCCTAAAAAATGGAGGCAGTAGTGCCCACACCTTGAGACACCACCCTCCTAATTGCCCCTGGAATCCAAGGGGAGGCCAGATCCAGCCCTGGGGATTCCAGCACCTGTGGAAGAGAAGATGGGTTGCCCATCCTGCAGCCTGTGACAGGCGCCTCCGGGCCCCAGCAGCCTGGCCATAGGGGAGGACACCACAGCCAACACCCACGTTGGCCCAGTGCAGCAACAATTCTTCTGAAGACTCCCGTGGTTTCTGTCTCTCTCAGGATGATGGACCTCCTCTCACTAGAGGAGGCGGCTGGGAGAGGCCCTGGGGGCTTCTTACCCAATGAGGGAAGGGCACACAGCAGGCACCAAGAGCGGGACCTGGAGCCACCTGCTTCTGCCCTCGACCTTCAGGACCTTTGGGGGCGGTCCTGTGTGGTAGCCTCTGTCTTCCAGGTGCGGACAGAGGCACAGAGAAGAAGGGATCTGGAATGGTGCCCCCGTCTGCTGAGTCCCCTTGGCCGTGGCTCAGCATCATGACTCCCGGCTGGCAACCCCTCCTGCTGCTTCCTGCTCCTCCTACCCCATCACTGGTACCTGGGAGCTGGGCTTTGTCCCCTGGGGCCTGTCCCAGGCTGGCCTTAGGCACATGTCTGTTTGTGCCCCTACTGTGACCCCGTCCTGCCCCAGCGCTCTTGCGGATACCTTCCTGTAGATTCTCCCCGTCCCCCTTCCCAGAGTAGCTCAAGGCTTAAAAGCCACCATCCTTTCTGCCAGTGGTCCCTTCTTTCTCCCTGCCAGGCACTGAAGTGACCTGGACCCAACATACCTCCTAGGCCTCAATGCTGCTCCAGGGATGCCCCCACTGGAGGGCTGGGGGTCTCCATCTCTGCCCCTTGGGTCCAGCCTTGCTGCAGTTGTGGGGTGGCGGGAGCTCTGTCGGGCCAACCGGTGAGTCCTAGGGATCAGGGATCAGGGTGTTGCTGCCGCCGCATCCTGCAGTCCCCGTGAGCCCACAGGGTCCTGTGGCTCCGGCTCCTCACCTCTTCCTGTGCCGAGCGCCACCTCAACCTTCCTTCCTGTCTGATTTCAACAGCCAACAGCCTCACAGACACATTGATGTGTCTTGCTTGCCTCAGGCCCAGCGCTCTGGGTTTGGCACCAAGCCCATAGGGTCGGGGTGACGCTGGGGGTCGTCTTGACTCTGGCACCCGCTGCTCAGCATAAAGTCATGCAAAGCCAAAGCAACTGACACATCATCACCTCCCTGCTCCCAAAAGGAAACACACTTGCCATCGATAGATGTTTGCTTTCAGGCAGGTGTCAGGAGACCAAGCCTGCAGCCGGAAGTCACACAGCCGGAAGGTGACCTTGCTGGGGTGGTCTGCACCCTCCCACCTCCAGGACCGCAGATGCTCTGATGCCCTGCAGTCCTCCCCTCCCTTTCTATACTCTCTCGCGTTCCTTCTCTCCGTCACCCAGCAGGCACCTTCTGACCCAGCTGCACACCACAGCGTCTTCCTGTGAGTCAAGAGGCCCCCAAGGGCAGGTCACCTGCACCCTGAGATGAAATGGCAGAATGTGGCCATTCGTGGCAGGAGATCACACTTGGCCCCTAAAGGTGGACCTCAGCAGGTGCGCTGTCCTAACAGGGAAGGGCAGGGGGAAGGCCGTGGCTTGGAGTAAGCCACACGAGAAAAGGTACAATGAAAGTACAGGACACTGTCCAGTGACAGGGATCGAGCTACTTAACATGGGACCCTGAGGGAAGAAAGTGACAAGGTGGAAGTCAAAGGATGGGTGTCTTAGGATCTGAATTTTCCTCAGTAACCAAGTGGGATCCAGTAGTGGTTGTAGAGCAGGAAAGTAGTGGGTTTTGATGCTTAGAGCAGCTTGTATATAGCAGGAGGTGGGAGGGCCAGTGTGGGTGGGCAAATCGGAAATGCCCCTTCCATGTCCCCTTTCTTCCCTTCTCTCTCCCTCCCATCCTCCAGACAATGCTTTCTGAGCACCCGAGAATGTTCTGGGTGTTGGGATGACACGAAGGTGGCCCCTTGAGAAGGCTGCTGCGACACCAGGCAGAGGCAGAACCAGCAGCTGCAGCCTTGGCCCTGGGGAGCAGCAAAGGTGTCTGAAACCCAGCTGTGCACAGGATGTTGGAAACCACAGGGGCCTGGTGGGTATTTGTCACATGAAAGCTCAGAGAAGCTCGCTCTGCCTCCTCTGTGGTCCAGGGCGGATGGATGCTGAGCACGAGAGGAAACAGCCAGCTCCGTGGGGGTCTCGGGAGCCCCAGGTCCAGCCCCCCTTCCTTCCCCGCTTGCAGGAATGTCCATCAGCCCACACAAGATCGGTCCATGTTCTCTGCTCTGCTGGCTCCTTGAGAACCAGGCGGGCCATTCTCCTGGCTCTTGGAAGTGCTGACGTGTAGGGGCTCCCAAGTTGTTCTCACCCTGGGGCTCTCTGTCCACCGAGTGCTGGGGTCAGCTGGACAGGCAGTGGCCTCAGCCCTTCCTACCCTACCGACAGCATCAGGCTTCCCTCCTGCTGGGGCCTTTCTCTGTGAGCCCCCATGTCTGGGCCCAAGCTGGGCTGTGGGTCCTCTGTGATTGTCTTGAAGGGCTGTGCCCAGGCCAGGACCACCAAAGTAGGACAGACCTGGAGGTCTTGTCACATTACACTGAAATGCAAATGTCCTCCCATTTTCTTATCTAGTGATAACAGTGAATGTTCTGCTGCCAGCTTTCTCCTTGTGCTAACACCCCACCATAAGGCAGGGCGGATGGAGTTTCTGAAAGGGAAATCCCTCCACCTTGTCATGAAGAGGCCCCAAGGCCCACCAACCTTGCTGTAGGCACTGAGAAGACAGTGCTGCACCCCATTTTCCTTCTGAACCAATTAGCTGGACCTAATTCTGTAGTGTCTGAGTGAGTCTAGTTCTCTGGAAGGTCGAGGTTCTTTTCCAGGACACCAAGGCCCTCTGGGGGACTGCTCTGCACACAGGCTCAGGGCCGCGACATGCTGAACCTCTGCCCACTACTTGTCCTGGGGAGTGTACAGTGACCCAACTGGCCAAGGTAAGGGCGAGGCTCGGACACAGTCCCCAGGCTGGGCCTTCCCTCCCTTGGCTCCACACTGCACTCAGAGAATCTTGCTGGGTTTGAACCCCTCCCCCAACAGGTCTCCACCAACTGGGAAGTTCTGGACTTCTTTCAGGTCATGGACACCTTTGGAAGATGCTGAGGCCTCCCAATGCACATTCAAACCACAAACCCTGAAAAGCCAAAGACCCTAAGTCCCCCCACCCCCCACCTTTAATCAGTCCATCTCGCTTCCCTTAATACCAGAGGGGGATCAGTCCATCACAGAGGAAACTCGTGATAACTTCCAAAGTTGGTCAAAATCCATCTTCAGTTTGGTCAAAGATCTCCAGCTTTTGAAATTGTCTGTTCCTTGAATTGCCCGTCCCTTGAACTATCTGCCCTGGGCAATGTAAGCTGGAGGCCTGGGCCTCGCCACCTGTCCCCTGCCAGGACACGCCATATGTGTTCGAGGTACCCCATTTCCAGTCCCCCGAATGCTGCTTGCCTCTCAGGCCCAGCTCATGAACCCCTCTTCCTCAGGAGGCTGTCCCTGACATGAACCTTCAGGCCACCAGCGCCCAACCTCCCACCCCCACCTCCCCACTGCCAGGCCTAGGATAGGCATCTCCTTCACTAGCAGAGCACTGAGTGCAGCCTGTTTCTGCTGTCCCCACACAGCCCAACACGGGCCAAAGCAGTGCTTGCAGACTTTCCTATGAAAGACCGATTCTGACTAAGTGGGCCTGGGTTGGGCTGGAACCTGCAAGTGTAACCACCCCGCTGAGGTGGCTGCAGGAACTCCAGCCTCACCTCAGGCAACATGGGCTGGAGCTTGGCACCTGGCCAGGTTCTGCTAAACACAGACAAACATGTGTGGACAAACATGGGGATGGACGAGTGAATGAATACCTGCATCTCTTTTCTAGGAACCCGAGAGAAATGAGACAGCAGACCTGGGCTACCCTAGCCCGCTTCCCCTGTGATTCTTCTGGAGTGTAGCATCTAGGTTTATACAAAGGCTTTTTGTTTTTATTGCACATCTTATAAAATTGACTGCACTGCATCTGAAACAGACAAGGACATTCACAAGGATGGGGAGACTCAAGCCTTCCTTCTTCACTGGGCCTCGTCTTCGCACCGTGCTGCTCCTGGAAGCAGCTCTGACACACACTAGTGGAAGCTGCTAACCGAGAACATGCTTTTTGGGGCCTTCAGAGTTGTGCTGGGCCCTTGTGCACTGTCCAGTTTGGAGACTGCTGGTGATAAGTGTCTCAGTAGCACAGGTAGGCCAGGAGAGGTGTACTGGGGTGTGGCAGTGCAGGGAGCCTTGGACACCTGTTCTGCTGGTGATGGCTGGGATGGGTCTGAGTGCTAAAAAGGAAGACTGGCCCAGGCTGCTGGGGCAGGCTGCAGCTGACATCCATCTCAGGACACAGACTCATGGGGCAGTCATGCTCAGGACTAGTGGATGTGGAGAGTGGTGGACGTGGCAGAATCCAGGCCTTGCCCTGGCCTGCTGGTGGTGGCCCACTGCCCCTCTGGAGCACACAGGCCCTGCTGGGTTAAAGGAAGACACACTGGGCAAAGACAGAAGGAGGGAGCTGGGGGCCTTAAATCCAGGGGGTGGATACCACTCCAGAAAACAGTCTAGAGAAGAACCTGGGTCCATGTTGTTGTCACTTCACAGGTATAGCTGATGTGGTCCTGAGGCCCAGAAATGCCTGTGGAGGCCGGACTCACACCAGGCATCCCAGGTCCACCCTACCGGTGGCCAGCGGGGGCGGCTGATGCTGGGCACAGACCCCAAAGGCTGTTGATAGTGAGGGTGGGGAAGGGGGCAGCCCTGTCAATTCCGCTCCCTTTTCTTCTTGTTCGCAGGTTGCCGCGTCTTCCTCTGGGGCTTCTCCTTCCGGGCTGCAGCAGTGGTGAAGGTGATGCAGTGGGAGTCCAGAAAGTTCAGTAGCTTCCCCGTGGCTATGCGAATGCCATTCTGCTTCAGCTCAGCCTGCAGCTCCCCCAGCTCAAAGGGCTGATACAGCAGCACCTTCCGGTACAAGGCCGGCTTGGAGCGGATGTAACGCCTTACTTCCTCCTCCATGTCTGCTGCCCGGATGGCCGCCTGTGATGCACTGACCTCCTCCTCGGCCTCCTCCTCTTCCCCTGCAGACTCAAAGGCTGCTCCAAACTCACAGAGGGAAGAACTGAAAAGAAATCAGACAAGAACATTTTGTGACACCCTAAGGAGTGAGTTTCTATGGTCACTGTGGAACCTGGCCTGTGACATAGATGACCCCAGGATGGCAGGAAGCTCCTGACAGTTCCCTGTAGGCTACTCCAGCAGGATCCCACCTCTGCCAGAAAAGTCCTGGCATGGGGGGCAAGGAACCAGGAGGTCTGCTGGGATGTGGTTCAGGGGAATGGCTCAAACCCAGAAGGCAATGGGGGTTTCTGAACATTGGTCATTAGGCTTCGCTTATGCCAACCCTCAGCCCCACTGGTCAAAGGACACCTGATGCTGCTGGCCCCATCGCGTCTATCTGGTTACCTTTGTGAGCTAATGGAACTGTCACTGCCATCTACAGATGTGGCCACAGATTCCTGGGAGGCTGGGAGCTGAGTGTCACCATCAGGGCCTGGAGGCACCTCCTTGGTTGGTGACCTGCTCAGGGGTGGGATGCTTTCACCAGGCTGCTTCTTTCGATGTCGGGAGCCCTTGATCTTAGCAGGTCCCTTGGACCCACAGGGCATGGAACCTCCTGTGGCCTCCTGCTGGCTACAGCCCCTTGCCCTTGAAGGTCTGTAGGTCTCGGAGGTGTGAGTCTGGCTGCAAGGCACCTCCAGTGGCACCTGTGAGGACTGGATCTCATCCTCCGAGTCTGACTCCAGGGTCTGGTGAGTATATTGGAATATCTCCTTCAGTTTCAGAACCATCTGGCGTTTAGACAGAGGGCGGACTCCAAACCTGAGTGGAGAAGCAGGTGAATTTCAGTACTCAACCCACATACAACTGGTCTACAGATTCTATGCTATTTCCACATTTAGCAAAGGGTAATTCCCAAAACATCCAGTGAATGGCTTGTGTGAGTGAAACCTGAGTGCCTGATTTTTATGACTGTCCTAGGTCATAAAAAGCTAAGGTTACTCTAAAGAATACTCCAAGGACAGGCACAGTGGCTCACGCCTACAATTCCAACACTTAGGGAGACTGAGGCAGGAGGACTACTTGAGACCAGCCTGGGTAACATAGTGAGACCTTATCTCTACAAGAAATAAAAAATGTTAGCTGGGCATGGTGGTACATGCCTATAGTCCCAGCTACTCAGGAGGCTGAGGCGGGAGGATCACCTGAGCCTAAGAGTTCAAGGCTGCAGTGAGCTATGATCATGCCACTGCACTCCAGCCTGGTGACAGAGTGAGGGAAGGAGGGAGGGAGGGAGGAAGGGAGGAAGGAAAGGATATTCCAGGACAGGCTTGGTGGCTCAGCCTGTAATCCCAGCACTTTGGGAGGCCGAGGTGAGTAAACTGCCTGAGCCCAGATTCAAGACCAGGCCGGGCAACTTGGTGAGACCTTGTCTCTACAGTAAATAAAAACATAAGCTGGGCATGGTAGTGCAAGCCTATAGTTTCGGCTACTTGGAAGGCTGAGGCAGAAGGATCATAGGAGTCCAGCAGGTTGACGCTGGGGTAGCTGTGAGTGTGCAACTGCACTCCAGCCTGAGCGACAGAGTGAGATTACAACTCAAAAAAAAAAGAATATTCCAAAAGACATGCTACCATCCTGTTCTGAATAATGGTGGCAGCAATGACTTTCCTGGGTGCCCAAGTTCAAAAGCAGCATTCATTTGGATGTGATTGTGATGGTTTAAATGTTGTTTTAAAAAATCAGGTCTCCTCACGCAGACTATTCTGGCTAGGATCATACTTCCAATTACATGGAACATGGGTGAGTAACCTGAAGGAATCTCGTTTGTCAGCTCCTGGGGAACGGTATGCAGAGACCCAGGTAGCTCACCCTATCTTCTGGCAGTCACACATGCTGCCCGCAAAGCCACCTGCAGAACCTTCCTCTCGAGCCCAGGCTAACTGCATCCAACTAAACTTAAAGGGAACACATGACGGATCCTTCACTTCCAGGCCTGCTAAGCCTGGTTATGTGCAGAAGGGAAAAGACCACTTACGAGCAAGCTTTGAAGAGCAACACCAACCTGTCCAGTTCTTTCTTCAGCACCGGCGTTTCCATAATGGAATACCGTGGCATTGGAGTTATGGGCACTTTGGGGGGCAAGTTCTTCTTCTGATTAGCACCTTCTGGAAAAAATAAAAGCAGCATGCATTTTAGCACGAGGGACATGGATTCACCACTTCTGATCCTGGTAGTGTCACCAAGAATACTGCACTTGAAGACAACCCAACCACCATTTTGCTCCATGAAAGCAATAATGATCAATCCTTTCACTATCTGGAGTCATGTCTTCCCACTGGAAAACATTGTACGGCACACACTGAGGACCATGCCTTGTATAGCATTGATTCTGGGTGAACTGGACCCCTAAGGCTATTCAACTCAATGGCCAGCAAAGGACTAAACTTAAGTATATAAACATAAAACGTGAGACAATGGGCCACACTGATACCCTTCAAGCAGGCTTAGACAGCAGTATTTTTTTTTTATAATTCAACAATAAAAAAGCAACCCAATTTAAAAATGGGCAAAGGATGTGAAAAGACATTTCTCCAAAGAAGACATACAAATGGCCAATAAACACATGAAAAGATGTTCAACATCAATAGCCATCAGGGAAATGCAAATCAAAACCACAATGAGATACCACTTCATCACCACCAGGATAAAAAACATGAGAGTAACAAGTGTTGGTGAGAATGGGGAGAAACTGGAACCATCACATACTGCTGGTGGAGATGTCAACTGGTACAGACACTTTGGAAACCAGTCTGGTAGTTCCTCAAAATGCTAAACACAATCACCATAGGACCCAGCAATTCCACTCCTAAGTATATACCCAAGAGAAATGAAACTTATGTCCACACAAACTTGTACATGAATGCTTATACGCATTATTATTAATACTATTATTATTTCTACTTAGGGTCTTACTCTGTTGCCCAGACCAAAGAGCAATGGCATGATCACAGCTCACCACTGCCTTGGCCTCCTGGGCTCAGGCAATCCTCTTTTCTCAGCCTCCCAAGTAGCTGGGACTACAGGTGGGCACCACCATGCCTGGCTAATTTTTTTTTTTGGTAGAGACAAGGTCTTTCCATGTTGCCCAGGCTGGTCTCAAACTCCTGGGCTCAAGCAGCCCTCCCGCCTTGGCCTCCAAAAATGCTGAGATTACTGGTATGAGCTACCACACCCAGCCCAACAGCAACATTGCTAACGATGACCAAAAATTGAAAACCCAAATGTCCACTAATGGATGAATGGATAAACAAAATGTGCTACACCATAGACTGGGATATTATTCAGGCATAAAAAGGAATACTGACTCATGCTACAACGCGTATGAATCTTGAAAACTTGATGCTAAGTGAAAGAACCCAGACACAAAAGACCACATATTATATGGTTTTGTTTATATGAAATGTCCATAACAGGCATATCCATAGATATAAGTAGATGAGTGGTGGCCAGGGGCCGGGGAAGGGGAATGGGATGGACAGCTAATGGTACAGATGGAACTTGTTTTATTGTGGAATTAGGTAATGGTGGTCATTGTACAACAGTGTAAGTATGCTTAAAACCACTGAACTGTACATTTTTAAAGGGTGAATTTTATGGTACATGAATTATATCTCAGTAAAGTTGTTACTTTAAAAAAATAAGTATTTTAAAGACATGCCAGGTATGGTGGCTCAAGCCTGTAATCCCAGCAACTAGGGAGGCTGAGGTAGAAGACCAGCCTGAGTAATACAGCAAGTCCCTGTCTTTAAAAAAAGAAAAGAAAAAAAGCAAATAGGACAAATTAGGAACATACAGGCTTCGGTTCTTATCCCCTATATGATCATAGAGCCCAAGACTCCAATGAAAATAGTAGGGTGCCTCCTGAGAAATGCATACAATTCTCCCTATCATTTCTCTGTTTGTCTTGAAGCCCACCTCAGATTCAGACTGGCCTCAAGCCTCCTGCACTGGTTCTTATAGCACTGCCTGGGAAATGGTTAGAAATGCAAATTCTTGGTTACTTTCCTGAAGCTGAAGCTAGGGGTGGGGAGGGACAGGCAACTTGTTTTTTGTTTTTTGTTTTTTGCAGGGTGGGGGGTAGTCTGAGTCAGAGTCTCACTCTGTTGCCCAGGCTGGAGTGCAGTGGCATACTCATGGCCACCACAGCCACGACCTGCTGGGCTCAGGCAATCCTTCCACCTCAGCCTTTCAAGTAGCTACCACACCTGGCTAATTTTTTGATTTATTGTAGAGAGGAGGTCTCACCAAGTTGCCCAGGCTGGCCTCAGACACTTGAGCTCAGGTAATCCCCTCCCAGCAACTTGTGCTTTAAGAATTCTCCAGGTGCTTCTGAAAGGCCCTGAAGGCTGAGGTCCTGTTGGTGGACTCATTCACCTATGATTTTAGGAGGAAACGAGCCAGCAGGTTGCAGGGAGGTGCGGCTCGTAGCGCGGCCTTCTTACGCCCAGTCACTACTTAGCCTGTCCTTAGCCCTCCCTGGAGGTACCTGGCAGGGGAGCAGCAGCACCAAGAGGGTTGACACACAGGTCCCAGATTCTCCCTGAATGACTGAACTGGGACAAGGTATCATTCCACATGGGGGCATCAGGAAGGATGGGGTTTATAGACTTTCACATTTATCCCCCATTTTTGTTTCTTCGTTTTTTAATTGAGGTGAAATTCACAAAAAGAAATTCAAAGTGAACAATTGAGTGACATTAAGCATATTCATGATGTTGGGCAACTACCACCTCTGTCTAGCTCCAAAACGTTGTCAGCAGCCCAAAAAGAAACCCTTTACCCATTAAGCAGTCACTCCCCATTCCCCCTCCCTCCAACCTCAGGCAACCACTAACCTGCATTGTGTCTCTATGGATTTGTCTATTCACGACATCTCTTATCAATGAAATCATGCAAGACATGACCTCATGACAGGCTTCTCACTCAGCATACTGTTTTCGAGGTTCATCCATGTTACAGCATGAGTCAGTGCTGAGTAACATCGCACTGTATGGCTGGACCACATTTTGTTTACCCCTTCAGCTGCTGATGGGCATTTGGGTGGCCTCCACCTTTTGGCTATTGTGAATACTTCTGCTGTGAACATGTATCAACAAGTATCTGAGTCTCCATTTCAACTCTTTTGGATCTACAAGTTAAGAGTGGAATTGCTGGGACTGCTGGTCCCATGGCCATTCGATAGTTAACTTTTTGAGAAGCCACAGTTGCCCAATCCTAAGGCACAAAGACACCTGCCGGGCAGAGTTGAAGCCTCTGGCAGTGCTGGCTCAGTGTTCTGCAGTGCGGTTCACAGAGGTGGGTTTTTAATATGTATCCAGGTGAGTGCTAGGATCTAGGCACACTTGGGGGACCCTGCTTTACTGTAAGAAGCGTGTGTCTAGTAGCCAGTCAACTATCCCTCCCCTGTGCAAAGGGGCATGGGAGGCAGCAGAAGGGTTAGTGGCAGGTTAGCGGCAACGCTCCTCCACCCCTGCATCTTGATTACTCATCTCCACACCTCCTTAGTGTAAAAGAGTAGAAAAGACCATACCTCTCCCCAACCCTCCTGGCTACTCACTGGGCGTCTCTAACTCTTTGGACTTCTGAGCTCGACTGGCACTTAGTGTCTGGGTCAGAAGAGGAGCCTCTGGAGACTTCCGCTCTTCTTCATTCCAATCATCCCACAAAGCTGAATTCAAAAAGCTTGGCCTGCTGCTCCCCGGGGAGCCAGCCCTTGAGGATTTCTCTTGAGATGTTCTTGGGGCAGCACAGCTTCCTCGGATAGGGGAGGTGGCCAGGAGTCCTGGGGAGTGGTGGTCACCACTGTCTGGTGCCTCCTTCGCCCTACTGCTGGGACTGCTGGCACTCAGGGGACCAGTTCGCTCAAGGTTCAAGTAGTCAATTGGAATCGGTGAGAGGGGCTCAACATGCCAACAGCAATCGCCAACTGGAATTGGGGAGTTACTGACTGGGGACAGACTGCTGTTTGCCTGATGGGAGGACACTTCCTGCTCATCTTCGCTGTCCTCAACTTCCACTACTTCACTCGCTGGAGCCTGATTTGGTGGGCTTGGCCCAGGTGGTGAACATTTCATGAATTGCCCGGTGAAATGGGCACGGCCTCCCGAGACGGGACGTGGAGAGGAGTGTTTTTGGCATCTAGGGTTGGAGCGGGAAGGGCTTCTGCGGACCTGCCTTCTGCCATCAGACGTTCTTGAAGTGATGGGAACACAGCATGACGACAGCGTCTGGGGCATGATTACTGAAAGCTTCTGTGCGGCTTCATTTACTTCCCTGTTTTCTAACGAGGCCCTGGGTGTATGCTGAGTCATCTCATTCACTGAAGTCCTGGTCTTGAGGCTGGTTATTTGGGTCTGGGATGAACAGTCACGGCTTCTGCCAACCAGCGGGGTGGCAGGTACCAGCCACGAGGTGTTTGTGGTGCTGTCCTCATCGGGGCTGGTCTCACGGTCACAGAACAGCCAGGGGGTCCTTCTGCCACCTAAAGAGCCCTGATTCTCTGGTCGTCCTTCCTCCTGCTGTAGCTCAGTTTCTCTTCTAGGTGGGCTTTGGGAAAGTTCCTGATCTGTATCAACATCAATGATGGAAAACAGCTCAGAGGACTTGGGGCTAATTTCTAGAACTTTCTTTTCTTCTGGAGAATCACTAGAAACTGACTTTATTTTGGCTTTTTCTAGCTCCAGCTCTTCATCAGAATCCAATAAAAGAATGATCTCATCATCTTTGTTCAGGTTGGATGAAGAATTCTGAGAGCTGGAACACAAATGGTCAGGTTTCGATTGGGTTAGGTCAATGGACAGAGACTTTTGGGGAGAAATCAGGACCCCCTTATTTTTGTGTTCCAACATGGAACTACATTCTTTGTCTTTCTGGTGGCCTGGCTCTTTAAGTAACCCAAAGATGCTCCTGTTCCTTTTCTGCTTTGGTGTTACAGCTGGAGATGGCAAGTTTGGGGAAGACACACTGGAAACCCCACCATGCAACTGTGGTGCCGATGGGGCTGACTCGCTTGTGTGATGTGGGTGATAGGACCGGCCAGGGTTCCCACCCTGGGGCAGTTGTGTCAGGAAGCTGCATGGATGCAGTGGGGACACCTGCTGGGGTGTGAGGCAATGCAAGATCTCCACCCCCTTTTCCCTTACAGTGCCACTTGGTTCCTCGGGCTCACTCCTTATTTGGAATGGCTCAGAGGATTCCCTCTGAGTTGATGAAAAGAGCTGTTCATAATCACAGGCATCATCAGACTGTGGAAGGGAGGCCTCTTTTCTCCCTGCGCAGCAGCCCCCAGAAGGGCTGGAGGAGCTGGAGTGGCCCAGTGCCTCCTTTGAGGCTTCTCGCTCACGCGTCTCTGCTTCCCACTCCATGTCTGGACACAAGCCCCGGGGTGGCATGACAAAGTGCTGTGTCACATCTTCCCAGTTGGTTGGGGCCTCATCTCTTCCTGGCTCAGATGACTCCAATTTCTCTGCCTTTTCCAGTTGTCTGTGAACCTGGACACTTGCTAGGGTATGCCCAGAAACCGAGCTGCCCTCCACGAGCCAGTCAGTGTCCTTGTCAGCATCTGGTGTTCTTTCCCCCTGGAGCAGCTTTCGCTGAGTAGCTGCAAATTCATAAATTTCTTCCATTTCTGCTTCATTCACCTCTTCTCTGTCTTCTTCATAGCCCTTCGATTTCAACAATGTCTCTGCTTCCTCCTCTTCATCTACCCACACTGACCTCAAGAGTTCTTGGAAATTCTCTGCCCTGCTGTCACAATTCTCGTCTTCCTTCTCCCATTGTTCACCCTCTGAATCTGTGACAACAGATGCCTGTTTGCACAGGTGAACAAGTTCATTCACACCAAACCTGCAACATGAAACACCTGCATCATCACCATTCTGCATGGAGGTGGGCTCTGGGCACTTGGGAGTGGGGGACAGGGATCAGAGTCTTTGCAGGGAGGAACAACCATGAATCAGCCTCTGTTCTCCTTCAAAGATGGTGCTCACGCTCCTGTCCAGAGAGTCACAGCACTTTAAAGCAGGGTTCACTAACCACTGCTGAAATATCAAGGGGTGCATGAGTGTGAGACAATAGGAATTGGTGGGACTACAAAACTGGAAATCCAATGCTGCCTTGAGAGACCCTTAAGACACGGGGTCAGACACAAACCACAGATCAAACCTGTATGCAGGTCAGCCCAGTCCAATCAGCTTGTCAACTGGCCACCTACTTAAAGGCTCTGTGCTCTAATTAGTACATTTCAAACCCCAGAGGCCAAGCCATTTCTTTCCCAAGAAAGCACTAGATGGATTAGCAGGCTTCATCTCAGAGGTCTTTAGTCCCTGTCAGGAGGTAGAACACGTGTTCCTGCTGAGCTACCCGCCATCTCCCATAAGATACTAATGTGGACAAGCCAGGGGAGCTGCAGAGGCAAGGATGTGAACTAAGCATTCTCTCTACTTCCATTTTCTGGGACTCAGGAAAGGATTGCGGGTATTCAGCTCTAGTGGTGGAACAATCACAGAGTAGCAGCGTTTAGGGAGCACTGAGCCGGAGGGCCACTGTCACATCACACCCAGGGAGCTAAAAACCACAGAACCTGGAAAAATCCTCTCCACCCAGCACTCAGCACCCCTAAATGTGTGAAGTGAAAGGCAGCCCCAATCCCTCTGTGGCACAGCCCTCCCTTGAGCTGTCAGCCTGTTGATCCCTGTCAGTTAATTTCAAAGGCTGTGGAGCAACACCGAAAGAACAATCCAGACCTGAGGGCCAGGGAGCTCAGCTCAGGAGTCACATGGAGAGGAAGACGTGTGTCTGCAGAGTAGAGGTAGTGTAGGAACGCAGAGGTGGCCTCGGTGCTCACGTTGCTCAGCAGGATGCGCTGGGTCAGGACCCCATCCTCCACTGCAGAGAAACCTTCACTGTTTACCTGGGGTAAAATACAACTTAGAAGGGTTACTGATCATATAGTACCTTGGAGTGAAACAGACAGTACAGGGTGTCCTGTGGGTCTCTAGTCCTATAAACAACCCCATGTCCCAGTAAAAGCTTAGTCAGTGTTGATAACATTTTAACCTAATTCTGAACTTTAGGCCTAACACTTCTCTGTTGCTGAATTGTATTAGGAATGGATGTTCAAGAACCCAGTTAGTTTTCTCTTGGGAGACACAGCAAGGCCTCCAGACTTTCTCACAGAAAGACTGATAATTCCTGCTGACATTCAAGTCAAATGCATAATAGAATGTATCAGAGCAGAAGGTTTATCAGCAACTCAACCTTAAAGAGATCGATTGTGGGACTTTATAGTCATGCAAACAGAGAAAAGAGGAAACAATTCTGGGAAAAAAAGGACTTTCATTAAGTAGGATAAAAAATCTGATGTTTTCTAATTCTGAGGGCCTCCCTCATACCCCGAAGACCTCCCAGACTCAAGAGTGGGTCTTTGTCTCTTCGGCACATATTAGGGCAACAGTGGGGAGAGGTGGGAGGGAGATGACGGGAACATGTTGAGGGACAGGAAGTAAGGGTGATGGGGAGGGAGGGAAGAGAGTATGGGACACAGGAAGGACTTGGTCAGAGAAAGGTGGAAGGGAGGGGGAGGGGGAAGGACCAGGAGAGAAAGGAAGGTGCAAAATGGCTGCTGCGTACTCACATACTGAATGAGAAGTGGACATCGGGCATAAAGCACAAACTTGTGGGCATAGAGAACCTCCCCGCTGTCCATCTGGAACTGGACATCGCTCAAGTGTGGGTTATTGACCATGGCACCAAAGTCAGCAATCAGCAGCCCGAGGGACAGCTGAAACAGGACGAGAGGAAGAGCTGTCATTTCCATCTGCCACTGCTTCTCTGAACTGTGGGAAGTTCCCCCAACAAAGGTTGCACTGGGTGGGTCAGAAGCCCAGATCCTTGCTCTTCTCTCCTCTGCAAAATGGTTCCTGTGGTCACTTCCACGCCTGCATTACCTTAAGGCACTCAGTGATACAGAACAGCAGACACTAGCTTCTTTCTCAAATTGTCTCTTACAGTGGATTCCCTGGCCTAAAACAAGAGGGCCAGCATGTGGAGAGGCAGGCCATTAGGTAAACATGAACCTTCAGTATGGGTAGTTCCTGGCACCATGTGTGGGCCAGGCTACGTGGCCCATGTGCTCAGAGCAGCCCCGTGAGGAGATGTACTGGCCCACCATGATGGATGAAGACCCCCAAGTCCAAGTAGCTCACGGGCCTGGCCAAGAGGAGAGCCCCAGATCCATTATAGGTGATGACATCCCCAGGCTGGTCCTTGCTATAACCTGTGACTGATATTGATATGCTAATAGATAAAGTCCACTCTAAGGAAAATCCAGCTTCCACCCAGTGCATCCCCAACACAGAACACTGACTGTTCTAGAGGCTGGGCCCCAGCTTGCTCAGCTGTGCTTGGGAGCCCAGCCCAGGATCCATGCACAGAAGGGACACAGCAAGCCCTAATGAGTGAGTGAAACTACTGAGAAATGAGTTATGTAGTGCAGACATGAATGAGGCAGCTGCACCGAGACACGGTGGTCCCTCCAGGACAAAGCGGCTCCTGGGCTCAACTACTAAGAAGCCCTACAGAGATCAAAGACAAAAGGGACAAACACCCTTGTGTCAGAGCCCCAAGAGGGGAGATGGGACACCTGTGGACTCTCTGTGGCACTGCTCACAGGCTGTCAAGATGTGTCAGGTTTCTGGGAAGCAGAGATGCTTCTAGAGAGACCAGTGTACTCATGTGAGGGGCCTAGAGGCCAGTGGTGAGCCAATCCCCCCTCCACACACACACAGTGAGCAGGAGCAGCCAGGACCACAGAGAGAGGGCAGAGCCCGATAGCCCAGCATGCAGCAGTAGAAGTCCCGGTCCTTACCGAAGTGTGGCCAGCCCTCTCCAGGCACTCCTCCTGGGATGGCATGACAAACCCCGTTAGAGGAAGGCCATTGGGCACCAAGTCCAACCCTGAGAGAAGGATTTGCAGGTTAACAGAAGTCACCTCCCAGCAATGTCAACTGCCAAGCAGACAGCATCAACTGCAGGCTGAACTGAGCCCGGAAGTACCTTGGGAGGCACCTGTCATTTGAGGACATTTTCATTAAAGCAAATCCCCACACAGATTTTTTATCCCCACCCCCATCAAGGAGGTAAAAGAATAGTAAACTAGACAAGATTAGTGCAAAGGAGCAATCACTGTCATAGACAGATGGCTCTGTCTATGGTTAAAGTTTAAAGAAAATTGGGCTGGGCTTGGTGGCTCAGCCTATAATCCCAGCATTTTGGGAAGCCGAGGCAAGTGCATTGCCTGAGCCCACAGGTTTGAGACCAGCCCGGGCAACTTGGCGAGACCTTGTCTCTACAATAAATCAAAAATTAGCCAGGCGTGGTAGCACATGCCTGTAGTTCCAGCTACTTGGAAGGCTGAGGTGAAGGGACTGCCAGAGCCCAGCAGAGCAGGTTGACGCTGGGGTGGCCATGAGCATGTCACTGCACTCTAGCCTGGGCGACGGAGTAGGACTCCAACTCAGAAAAAAAAAAAGTTTAAGGAAAATTGGGGCAGATTTGTCTATATCACTTTCGTCTTTGAGAAGAAAATGAAAGTACCCAGGGACTATGTGTGCTCCCATCAGGTCTGAGCTGTTATTGCAGCAGCACAAGGTCTAGTCCATCCCAGCCTCAGACCCTGGAAGGAAAATGGAGCTGGCCCCAGCGTCCCACCCAGTGTATCACCTGTGGCCTCTCCCGAGCTGCTCAGCCCCTCCCTTGCCAGGTCTATGAGGTCCTGCAGGGCCTGGTGCTCCCTCTGGCTGACTGACAGCGATGAGTTCCTGGGGCTTCGGCCACCAGAGGGGGTGCTGTGGAGAGCAAGTGGCCTTTGCACGCCCATCTCTGATGACTCAGGCAGCACAGACTCCTGTGTGAGGCCCTGAAAGAAGCCAAAAGCAGAGTGTGGTCACTGTCACCAGTGCATATACTGTAAAAGCTGCCAGTGTGTATAGCTGGACCTGAAACTGGAGGGCATGGTGTGGGCTGTGGAGCACAGAGGGTCCCTGAGGGCTCTGGTCACAGCCTGGAGCAGCCCTGGGATGCTTTCTCCATCATTGTGTGCCAACAGACTTCTCTGTCCTGGCCAAGACCAGGCCAGTGACATCCAAGTGCACAAAAAGGCTTGTCAGACAGTCGGACTCTCTTAATGTCATCCAGATGGTCTCAAGCAAATGAATACTGCTCCAGGACCACCTGCCTCAGGGCTGTCTGGAGTACATGTCTAGAATACAGTTCCTGGGCCCCATTAGGGACTCTGGCCACCCTGGGATTCTGTTTTTAACAAACTTCAGAAACACTAAACTGCAGGAACCAAAGGTCTTCCCTAATCTTACCAGGACAGCCATTTGGTTCTTGTGCACAGAAATGAGCAACAGCCAGCTGGGCACAATGTCTCAAGTCTGTAATCCCGGCACTTTGGAAGGCCAAGGCGAGAGGATTGCCTGAGCCCAGGGGTTCAAGACCAGCCTGGGCAATTTGGAGAGACTTCATCTTTACAATAAATCAAAAAATTAGCCGGGCATGATAGCATGTGCCTGTAGTTCCAGCTACTTGGAAGGCTGAGGCATAAGGATCGCTTGAGCCCAGCAGGTTGTTGCTGGGGTGGCCGTGAGTGTTGACTGCACTCTAGCCTGGGCGATGGAGTGAGACTCCAACTCAAAAAAAAAAAAAAAAAGACATGAGCAACAGCCAATGCCCATTTGGCTTTCTGCCCCCCTCCACAGACTTTCCATTGCCAGCTGTGGATACCCTGTGCTGCAGTTCTGGAACTGTCTGTCACTCCCCAAAGCCCATCACTTGTGTGTCCGAGAAGAGGGGCTCACCTTGGTGGGCTGCTGGGGCACAATGGGAGGGACCAGACTGGCCGTGTAGAAGGCCTCCACGGCCCAGGCTCCAGTCAGGGCGCTGCTCTCCCACAGAAAGTTCTGCTTTCCTTTAGGTGGTGGCAGACATGGGCCTGCCTTTTCCAGCTCTTTCTTTAAAATCTTGCTGGCAGGAAGTGGTGGTGTGCTGGACAATTCTACTTCCTCAGAGAGAAGGAGGGCCACACGGTCCTCTATCTGTCTGCCTGTGGTCTCAGAGTCCTGGAATAATAACTGCGGTGGGGAAGCCAAGGGTTTCTTCTTACGACTTTTCTTCTCTAGAGAGAAACAGAAGTGACACAGTCAACAGTGGAATCCATCCACTCATCTCAGGACCCACCAGTGGTCTCTCTCAGAGCCATTGCTCCTGGCCACACATACCTGCTCTTGGTCTCATTCTCTCAGAAAAGGCACTTTCCAGTCTGAGCATTGGTGCTGATGGACACTGTTCCATCTCTGACCGGGACAGAGCCATGGCCACCAGCAGGTCCTCAGATGGGACCTCGTCTACCTTTTGCCTCTTCTGGGACTCCTTCTTGTTGGCAGTTCCTTTCCGTTTCACAACTCCAATGTGATTGCCAAAGCTAAAAGGCAGCCAAAGAGAAAAGTGAGTGGGGCTGGAGGTGCCTACACTTCTTCTGGGGCTGGTCCCACTGGACTTGGTGGGAGGTGAGAGAAAAGGGTTAGGGGAGACCCGCCAAGGCTGCTTTTCACTGTGCTGATTCTATTGCCTCATGTGAGCGCATTCGCTCAGGCCAAAAGTTTAGCATGGCCCATACGTGGAAGGGTCTGGGTCCTTTCTTGTGACGTTGCCTAGAGGATTCATGGTAGATATACAAAGCTGTCAGTGGTACCTGTACACCCTAGTATGGCCATGCCCTTCCAGTGGAGTGATGATTCTAAGCAGCTCCTTGGAGTCCTATTTCTGTCCATCAGTGTTTCCTATGACCCTTAGGTCGATGTGGCCACACTGGAAAAAAAGAACCCCTTCCCTTCCCTTTTTTCTCTCAGGGGCCCCCAGGCAGCACCTCTGAACTGCATGTGAGCTCTGATGACCCAAGTTCCAATGCCCAGGCTTGACCTTAGAGAGTGTAGACTCAAAGACTCTATGAGGGTATCTACGTCCTATAGCTTTCTACTCTAATAATCTCCTAGAAGGACCCACATACATCTAGTTTCACTAGTTGGAGGTATTTTTAAAGCAAACGTATTTGATCTGAGCAGGCAGCTTCAGTGCAGTCCTGCCAAGAGGCAGGACGAATTAGATAATGTCTATTCCTCAAGGCTTCCAATCCTATGATGCTAGTGTGAAGGTGCTAAACATAGATGGGCTCACTAACTAAGAAAGCTACCCACTGTCCTCTAAGCCTCAGCCCAGCTCAGTTGCCCATAACCTGTGTGCAAGGCAGTGACCAAGACAAACAGTGCTATCACCCTTGGCCTCTTTGCTCCTGACAACTGTCCCAATCCTAGAGAAGTCTGAGGTTCAAGCTCCCTCAGCTCTGGTGTCCTCAGCAGGGGCAGTAGGGAGCAAGGCTGGCTCTTCTCCACTTGTGTGGCTGTGGCCTGCATGCTGAGGACTTGTTTCTCTGCTGTCAGCAGGGCCTCCTATTTTAACACTTAAGCAATTAAAAAAATAGTGTCCTGCACTTCTGTCTCACCAACTCTTTGAACTGTGCTGAATAATCTTACATCAACAGCATGAAAACTAGACCACACTGAGGCGGAAACCATGCCATACAACAAAGAAATGGATGCGGCAAAGTGAAGAGCAAATTCTTAGATGCGCTGGATAGAGGGTACCAACCGCAGGATTGTGGAATTGGAAACATCTCAGGAAGAACCTTGAAGAGACCAGTCCAGTGGTCATTTCCGCAGACACACCTGAATGGGTCATTTCAAAGCCTTCAGGGATACAGAATCTGCCCCCACCTTAATCCCTTCTAGACTGTGCTGATTCACAACACAATGTTTCATTTCCAGAACAAACGAGGGCTCTATTGTCCATCCATACTATAAAAAGCTTTAAAACAACAACAACAACAAATCAAGTACAAATACCATTCTTTGGCTGACTTTTCTTCCTTTCTATTGGACTCACCTGGATTCCAGTGGGCTGCCAGCCTCCTCAGGCTGTGCTGTCTGCAGCCGCACGGCCTGAAGCAGGAGCTGGGGGCCAACCTCCATCTTCACTGCACACTGCTTCAAATGACTGATTCTGCTCTTTAAGGTGAGAAATGGTTTCCCACAAATCGGACATTCAGGGATATGAGGTGTGGAAGGTCTTCGTGCCTTTTCTGCCTCATCCAAGCACCTGGAGGAAGACAGTAAATACAGGAGAACTACCCTCCCCAGGAATGTGGACTGTAGCAAATGTGAATCCACATTGGCTGTGGCCAAATCACGTTCCTGTTCCTGCAAAGCCAATCCCCTCCACACAGCCTGCTCGTCTCCTGGCAGTTAGCCTCTAGACACTAAATTTAGGTATCTGTTAGCAAAACTGGCCAAAGAAAGCAAACCTAGGTTAAACAGCTACCTTATGACCCAGAAAGTCCACTAAGTATATGCCTCAAAGAACTGATAATAGGTACTCAAACAAATACATGAAACACATGTTCATAGCAGCTCTGTTCACAATACCCAACAGGTGGAAACAATCCAAATGTCCATCAATGGATGAAAGGATAAACAAACTGTAGTCATATTCCTGATCTAAGAATGGAATTTTAAAAAGCTGTAGTCTGTCCATACAATTAGATATTATTCAGGCATCAAAAGGAATGAAGTACTGATACGCACTACCGCATGGATGAACTTGGGAAACATTATGTCAAGTGACATAAATCAGACAAGAAGGACAAGTATTATATGGTTCTACCTATATGAAGTGTCCAGAAGAGGCAAATCCATACAGACAGAAAGTAGATTTGTGGTTGTCAGGGGAGGGAGGGGAAGAGAGAGTAACTGCTAATGGGCATAGGGATTGTTTTGGGGGTAATTAAAATAATATAAAATTGATTGTGGTGATGGTTGTTCAACTTTGTGAATATACAAAAGCCAATGATTTGTACACTTTAAAAGGGTGAACTGTATGCTATGTGAATTATGTCTCAATAGTTACTTTTTATAAAGGGTAGGTTGATAAGAAAACTGAGGGTGCTGTTGTCATGGTAAGGTGTCTCAAGATTCCCACTATAGCCATGGGGTGTGCTGGATTCTGGTCATACACAAGGGAGAGATGGAGGTCTAAGATGCCCCTACCGGTTCACGTGCTGCTCTCTTCGTGTCACATTCATAGCTGAGAGGTTCTTTTGACAGATCTGGCAGAAGAACAACCCCTTTTCCTCCAGGCTGTCGTCATGTGCAGATGCTCCTATCTGTGCAAGCTCCTGCTGCAGGGCCAAGGCCACCGCAGCATCGCTCTTTGGGGCAGGGAGCTCAGGCCCATACCCTGCAGAGAGGCAAAAGGGAAGATCCATGGGGATAATCTCCAAAACAAGTTCCCCTCAGACCTCTGCAACGTGTCTGTCAGCTCTCACAGAGCACAGACACCAGACAGAGCACAGAGATCAGAACCCAGCTCTACTCTGCAGGCCTGGTGACTCAGGTACTGCCCAATGAGACTGGGTATTAAACGGGGCTCCTGGAACAGCCTTTTCAAACTTTAATATGCACACAGGTCACCTAGGAAGCTTGCCAAAATGCAGGTCTGGATTCAGGGGTTCCAAGCGGACCCTGAGATCCTGCATTCCTAACAGTTCCCTGGGCTTGGCAATGCCAGTAGTCCAGGACCACTCTGAGTATTAAGGACCTGAAGAACTTACCTTTGGTTTTCCCTACTTCTGCTGCACTTGACTGCCTCAGCATTGCAGGGTCACAAGTCTCCTATTCCAACAAAACTAGGTTTTCTCTTTGAAGCTCAACCTTTCCTACTGCCTGTGACAGAACCAGACAGCAGGAAATGCCCTTGGCAGTTAAAAGACAGAGTTCTTACTTAGCATCAGACCAAAGGATGGCTGATTCTAGTCTTGAGATAGATCCCAAAGTGGTCCAGCTGATAATGCTGGAGCAGTCCCTTGGCACTCACAAGGCTTATGCCCTGAGAACTTCATAAACCTTGAAGCTTTTAAATATTACTTCAGCCTACCACACCTGCCACTGAAGCCAGAAAATCAGCACACCTTCATTTTGATGCCTTGTTTGTTTTTCACAAAGAAATGGTTTATCCTTTCTTGAGCATTTGCTGGATATGGTTTGAAGATACATGAAAAACTGACTCAAATGTAGGGCAGGTGCTGGGTTCACACAATGGCAGGGCACCTACTCTACACCTCAACATGCAGGACGAGGACCAATGCCTCAGTAGGATGTCAAATTGCAACATGTTGTGGACCTTTGGGGTAGCCTAGTAGTGAAATCTGCAAATGCAATGCCAAGAGCCTATATATTTATTAGCTGTAGGTCTGCTAATACTGTTTTTTTCCTATTTCTTTGTTGTTGTTGTTGTTTTGAGTAGGAGTCTCACTCTGTCGCCCAGGCCAGAGTGCAGTGGCACACTCCTGGCCACCACAGCCTCAACCTGCTGGGCTCAGGTGATCCTTCTACCTCAACCTTCCAAGTAACTGGAACTATAGGCATGCGCTATCATGTCCAGCTAATCTCTGTTGTATATTTCCACCAGAGATGGAGATCCATGTTGTTTAAGGGATAAATAACAGGTCCACCTGACATTATGTGCCTCTTGGGGCAATGCCATACCAAGTACACAGCAGCTGTGGAGCATGGCTGCCAAACTGTTTCACCTGAAACCGGTAGGCCCTATAGTATTCTTACAGTATGCTAGCAATCCAAGGGTTAGAGGAAGAGGCTAAATGATGACATAAAGCAATAAAAAAATTCAGAAAGTGAGAAATCCTTTTTTTTTAAGCTGGAGCCTCACTCCGTTGCCCAGGCTAGAGTGCAGTGGCAAGCTCACAGCTACTCCAGCATCGACCTGCTGGGTTTAGGCGATCCTTCCACTTCAGCCTTCCAAGTAGCCGAAACTACAGGCACATGCTACCATGCCCGGCTAATATTTTGATTTATTGTAGAGATGAGGTCTTGCCAAGTTGCCCAGGCTGTTCTTGAATCCATAGGCTCAGGCAATTCCCTCACCTCGGCCTCCCAAAGGGCTAGGATTACAGGCTTGAGCTACTGCACCTGGCCAGAAATCTTTTAAGACAATTAGCCTAAGCCGGGCTCGGTGGCTCAGCCTGTAATCCTGCACCTTGGGAGACTGAGGTGAGTGAATTGCCTGAGCCCGCGGGGTCGAGACCCGCC